GCCTGGATAATGTCGACTTCCCTATGTAGATGAACACATACTTGCGTAGGTAAAAAGCTATCGAAAACTTTTTCCATTTCATCTTTAGCTGGAGGTATGACTTTTGAATCTGGTACATCGTCAACTATAGGTTGAGTCTATATGACATATAAAGGGATTAAACATTTATATTTCAACTATTAGAAATAAATTAGAGATGGCTGATATTACTTTAGAGCTTTGTTCTGAAACATCCTCATCAATAGGTTCAAGAAATTCTGCAAGTTCATCTTCTTCGTGTCCTATCATATCTGTAATATTTAACCCGGTTACAAATTTATTCTGCATCGGGCTTGTTTGAGGTAGTTCGTCTACATTGGCGTATAAATCAAGCAATTAAAAATTAAAATTAAATTAATAACGAATAACTAATAATAAAATTTATTCATAGTATATACCTTCATAACTCAAGCCACGTTCGAATCCCGGAGGTACTGTTAATAATTCATCTTAAGGCGTAATACAAAAAATATTACGTGCAATATAATGGGTTATGATTAAAAAGCTTGAGAGATTTGAATAAAATTCAATTAATATCAATGCTATTACTACCTCTTATAACAAACCTTCCCCAAATATCAATGCATCTGTTTCTTTAACAATTTCACTTATTGTATCAACCATCACTTCGGATTCCAATCCACCTGGAGATAATGATAATTTCAAATTATTTTAAAGAAATAGTCAAATAAAAAACAGCGTTTATCACAAATTATTTTACCAGGTGCAAACGGAAGATAACTGGACTTTCCCCTTACAAAATTTTTCAATGCACCAGGTTCACGTAAAAATGATGATGAATTTTGAGAAGTAATGGTGGATTCCCCAATTGTTATCTAACAGATTCGCAAAGTTAATCAAATAGTGATGATTAATATATGTTATTTTTTAATAAGGTTATTTCATTAAATAAATAAATTACATACTTCTTTATAACCGATTATATTTCCTTCTGGTCCATCCCGTACTATTTCCAAAGTAGTCCGAGATTTTGAAGGTTTCAATGAGGCAAGTGATATAAAATCAGGGTCACGTTCCCAATATCTTTATATAGAGGATTTAAGAATTTTAACGATACAAGCAAAGTCTTTAATGAATATGGGAATTAATTAATTACTAACTGTTGACATTTGGGTAGCCATGACGTTGGGAATGACGTTTTCGGGGTTAAATAACGTTCCTCCAATTCTCTAAACACATCTTAATACATGATTTTTTTTAACCACTCAAAATTTTATGGATGAAGTCATTGTCCATTCGTTAAGTAAAAATGCCAACTGATAATTTTTGTTATACGTACGTAGACGTAGTCGGCCAGTATTACTTAATACCGGCCCAGAACCAATGAATTCCGACCCGAATTTTGTGATATAAATTTGGTTGGTTTGATAGAAAAACAAAATACATAAGCAAAAATAGTTGATCTTGAGGCACTTGTTAAAAGTAATAAAAACATAATTTTATATGCATAAGTTAACATTTTATATACGTAGAGCATATTTATTTGTTACTATATAGCAAAATAGTTACCAGAAAACATTACTATTATCTTAAAATTTTTATTTATGAAATTACCTTGTGTTTTAGCAACAAAATTTTTTTTTTTACATAACCATAATAAATTTTGACGTTTTTGCCTATATCAAGGGTTGTCTGTATCTTCTTGTATAGAATTTTGTGCATTTTCTAGCTTTAGAATTGTTGAGGCTTTCAATGCCATATTAAAAGCAATTTAAGAGTATTATAAAAGAAAAAAGCACGTACATGCGTACATTGTAACTGGGTGGATGACAAATTTGTTAAAATATAATATAATAATAAATAAATTTAAACGGGAGAATTAATTAATTACTTTCGATACATATCCAACCAGTCAAAAGATACCGATAAAATCGTCGATCGATAATCCTGTAATCAGGCATTTACTAATTTTACCCAGGTTTCACGATTCTGGCCAATCAGAGGACAGGATCAGGTGTAACGTGAAAATTAA